CCCCCCCAGACCCCCTAACTACTCACTTCGTTCGCCAGACACAACTCCGCTAGCGCCTTCTACGAAGGCTGGCTTTCGTAATAAATAAATACCTGGATCTTACAACTGTGACCTTGATTTTTCCTTTCCATCCATTAAAACACAAAAGCAGGCAAACATTTGGCATAGTTGGAAGATCCAGGTCAATATATTCAATGAAACATCTGGCCAACTACGAAGACTGAGGAGCTCATGCATGTACTGTTGACTCTGGCTTGATCTATGGTTTTAACTTTATTCTGATTTTATGGATAAAACAAGCCGCTGTAACTGTATTCCAATATGTTCAAAATGACCAGCAACAATAGTGATAAGCTCTTACGGACTGTTACTGGCAATGGGACACAACCCTATGTCACTATGTTAAACACCGTAAAACCAACATGCAAATGATCAAGCTCATCACATCAGTTCACTTACCCAACGCGGGGCCCATCGCAGAACCTCACGGCGTAAACCCCAAAGGCTTCGTCTTTTTCCGAAAACCCGAGCCCGGCCGTGAGCCAGCACCCAAGAAGAGCCGAACTCACTCGCGGGGAGAACTCCTGCAGTGACATCCTCATCATCAAAGTCCTTCCGACTGGTGCCGAGTGAATTCCGTGCGCGAAGTCACCACGAACCGGCCTTCGGATTTATAAGGAGCGAGATGATCGCTAAAAGCGATTCCTTGAGCCAACTTCCCAAAGGAAGGGTGGCGGAAGAGGAGGTTGCCCTGTGATGTTACTTTTCTTCTAAGATCCTAAATTTAAGCACTCTCCCCAAAACATAGCCACAACCCTTGGGGTGGCGAACCTTCCTGGAAGGGCCGAATGGGAGGGTTCGGGGGTTGGTGCAAACGTTTATCCAACCAACCCAGCTAACACTCATGATACCAGGTCAATATAACTCCTAAAATTGCACTCAGTAGATTCAGTGGATCTTCCAATGAAGTGTTTTCTGTGTTGTTGGAGTTTCTTTATGTTTCTCTGTTTTTGGCCCTACATGTGTTTCCTCGATACACTCCTCAAAGCTGCACTCACCAATCATGAACGTGCTCTCCAGGTAGAGGAAAAATTGCATTATAGGATACGGAGCAACCACTGGGTTGCTGGTCTCTTCTCCTTTCTCCCTGCGGTCTTTGGGGCATCTAACCATTTACCCCAAATGAGAGATGGACCGAAATTTGAAATGATGGAAAAAACACATAAGTTGCCATTCCTTTGCACACCTACAAATCATCACAATGACAAAAAAGAACAACATCCACTAGTATCAGAAACCGAGACCCGTCATCTATCAGAAACACGTGTTTTTCTCAATGATGAGGTTACTAGCTGGAGGTGTCAAGACAAAACACGACCGATCGAAAGAACTTCTCCGGCCTCATCCTCCGCGATGGATACATCTTCCAACAGAGCGGCCAACCTCAGCGGTGAGCCCAGTCGGATGAATAAGCCGGTCTTGGACCCTCCAGGGCCAAAACACCTTCCTGATGTGTGTGTGAGAAGCAACACGCATGTCCGCATGTCCTACAAAGTCCTACAAAGGGTTCAAAGAAACACATCATGTGACGCAGTATTAGATGCAGTGTTTTTTTTCGACTGAGATTACTGTAGAAGGGGCTGATGACGTCTACGGTCCTTTGCCGAGGGAGTCACGCTCCCAAGCATTGAACTCCCTCCAAGGTACAATATGGGTGATGGGTTCCTACGATAGTCAATCTACATCCTCGAATCAACCGACCACCCTCTTTGTGCGCCAGCAGAACTCTACCTTTGCGACGATCACCTCCACTTCACATCTTAGAGTGAGAACTTCGTCAAATCCCCTCAGCTAAGGGCAATCAGAGACTCCAAATTTGCCAAAAGACTGTGTTTGTTTATAGTGCAACGTCCAGTACCCACATACGAGCCAACACGGCCAAATGAACTGTGGAATCCGTGTTCCTTCACAAACAATTGCTTAAATTAAGAGAGCTCGGATCAACCTTCCTGTCTCCAAAATGCAAAGACACACAAAGTGCGGATGAGGAACTGTGGGAAGTGCCGGCTAACTCCACCAAAGCCTGGGCCTGGCAATGGTCTGTCATCGTCTGTCTGTCCCTTGGTCCAGCTCTCCATCTCTGACTCCCTCAGTTTCCCAGGAAAATAAAGGTTCACCTTTTTCCAATGAGACCAATCTCCCCAAAAACATGTTCTTCCGCATCCGGATCCATCCGCGTTCTGGTACGGTGATTGGAGACAAAGATATGTTGGAAAAGAACAACTGCATATAATGTGTTACATATATATGTACAGGTGGGACAGTCTGTTAAAAGAAATAGTTTTAAAAAAAGAACATGATAAACAAGGGTTTAAAACACAATCAAATGGAAAAGTGAAAAAAGAAAACAAGACATCCAAAGGTCGGAAAACATGTCAAATTTGGAAAGCACATCAATGTCGTCGTATAAACAATTAAATTATGTACACAATTTGTTAAAAAAAGAACTCTAAAAAAAGTCAGCTATGGGCCAATTGATTTTGCTTTGTTGTTCTGACACTTTCTGATTTGATGTTGTTTTGACTTTGACTTTTGGCACTGGCTACTTGAACAAGCATAGGATTCTTCAAACCCCAAAGCACACCGGTAAGTCTTTGCCTGGATGACAAAACATATCCTTTCCTCTAACGATCATGCATAATTACTGTACTAACTAAATCTATAGGCACACCTCTTCAAGAAAACAGCCCCAACCTCTGCCTTTCACAAATTTGCCAACAACAAAACAAACTGCATGCCCCCAAAAAACACCTACAGCTGCATACCTTTAAAGCCCACAACATGTTGGAACCGTCCACCCTCTTCTTCGTCCTCTTCCCTCTGGATCGCCTAGGGCTTGGAGACGCACTGAGGGGCGGTGCATCTGGCTGAAGACGAACCAGCTCACAGGGACCTGCGACCGCTGCACGGCTCCAAGGAGCAGAACCGACAGACGGAGACATCGGTGGAAGGTGTATACGATTTGGACCATTGACTTTATAAGTGTGTGTTTTTTTTTTTTTGGGCCGTGACGGTGACGGTTTGGCCCCAAACTGGATTGATGTTCGTGGTTCTTCCTCAACACCAAGGAAGACACCGACCCACAGGTGACGGACCATTGCGTCCAGCCGTGGCTTCAGCCGTGGCTGACTGGGCCGATTGGGATCCGTGGAACCCTCCGACCCTCGGGGTGTCTGGCTGGACTACCCCACACGAATACCTAGGCCTAGGCTTCCATGCTTATGTTTTCTAGAGTATGACCAGTTGGTCGGGTCCTACTTCGAATGACTACAGGTGACTAATTACAGGTGGTGACCGGCAAATGTTCCCTATACCCCCAAGTGAGACGGACAACGAACAATTTCTAGAGATTTTCGCCTGGACTCTTGGAGAGGAGATGAAAGGTCGCTGACCCCCTTTTAAAGACGATCTTGCCGTGATCACCGCATGACTGATCCAACCTGCCCACAAGAGTCCTCGGCTCGGTTAAGAGCCTCCCTCTTCTCAAGAGAATGAACACTGACGGTCTAATGACCTCATCCCCAAAGCATGCCCAGATGGGGCCCCTGTTTTGTTTAACCTTGCTCACGAAGGATGGGGACCGGACATGAATGCACTCACCCAAATTCTGTGGACTCACCGATGGATGCGTTGGATGCTTTTCTTGGACCCCGCCGACGCCGCTAGCCGCTTTTCTTGGATTCGTGTGTGGACCATGATAACAGCACTCGACTCGATCTTGGTTTTTTTTCAGATCTCCGAACACATCGAACATTCAGCTTTTCAGGCGATGTGTTCGCCACTAATTCCAGGGTTCTTACTTTGGAGGGTTGAATCAGAAAATGGCCACGCTTAATCCAGGTAGGGATGAGGTATGGCACTTCTGTCCTTCAGAGACAAGAAACTTTAAGATCTTTAAGTGAGTCATGCGTATGAACATTTAGGGAGAATTTCAGGTTTAATGATGTTTTGTGTTAAACTATGTCAACATATGAACAACGGTTTCGCGAGTGCGGCGCAAGTCGCAGCAATCAACCCGGATCCCACGTTGCAGGGATATGCAGGACAATGCAGGAATAACAAGGTTCAAACCACGTATATAAGACAAAAATCTGCACGGCCACGCGTCTTCCACACGACTTGACCCCGCTACCCAGTATTTCAAGACACACCCCAAATACTAGCTCACTCAACGTCAATTGTTCAAAGACATTCAATTGCGAAGGTCAAGACTTCACATTGCAAACATAGAACGAACGTCTCAAATGTCTGCCTCCGGGTGGAAAAAAAACCATTCCCAGGGTTCCAAAGCTTCTGAACACTTTGAAAAGAAGAGGTCACCAAAAAGGAGATAGAACAGTGAATCCACATGCATCCTCTAAAGATCTCGACAGGTTGAAGGGGACATCCTGAATTACCCTGGGTCTGATCCCTCATCTCCTCAAAGCGTCTCATGACCCATTTAAATATAGGGAGGTCCCCCAACGACTGGGTGCCTGGTCTTTGATCATTCTTCCAGGGGGTCGATGCCACAGGTCGGTCTCCCTATTTGAATCCACTCCCAACGACTGGGAGGTCTCCTGTTTCACACCGAAGAACACCGACTCGGTGCGCTGAATGTTCCACGCGCCTCCACCGAGGACTGGGCGGGCACATCCAAGTGCCCTTGAAACTCCTGGAGTTTCAAGACCATGGCACGACCCCAGGAGTTCTAGTGCCCTTGAAACAAAACAAGTTCCAAAGATGTCAAAGACCATGGCACGAGGTCCCACCCGACTTTGGTTGGACCCGAACGACAACAGGAAACCGTGGACACCCGACATGTAAAATTAGGTGGACACCATTTTGTGAGGCTTCCCGCACATATTATTCACCTCCAACCCATGTAGAAGATGTCGAAGGATGCAGCTCTGCCTCTCAAATATATTTTTCATAAAACATGGAAAACCTAAGGTGACACAAAACATGGAACATGCCATAACATGCCATGCCATAAATGACCTCTGGCAGGTCATGAGATCCTTTTTGGGGGTTCCAAAAGTTCACTTCCTCCGCGGCCCATGGCCCGGCCCGGTGTGAAGGCCGAACACCGGCGTCACCTTGAAACGTGCTCGGCCATCTGCTGCCTGACCGGTGGTTGAAACGTGCATGTTCAAAGAAACATCAGCCCAGATCGTTCTTTTCATTGTCCAACAAATCAGTGTGAAGGGTGTTGACCATGGAATGCGGTTGGGGTGGATGACAAAGGTCTATACCCCAAAGGAAATGGGGCCAGGGATGCCATGCCATCCTTGGCGCGCTGATCCTGTATCTGGCAGCAAAGCAATCCATGTCTTTTTCATGCTGATAGGATCCACTCATTTCGGAGATGAACCAGTCTAAGGGATCCTGTTCAGCTGCCACTGCCATGCTGATGAACTTACTCTATATCCAACCTGAAATTGTCCTGCATGGCTTCTTCTGATACCTAAGTTCTGATATGTTCTGATGATGATCTGGAAAAATCAGTATCAGTTACCTGAAGCCTCTGGCTTGTTCTTCTCAGGATCTTACCACATCTTGACAGAGTCCCATCTAAGAACACAGCCTGAGGCCCAAACACTCATGGTCAACTGTTTTTGTTTTCCCTCAGAAGCAGAGCCTCTCAGACTCAACTCCAAAGGACCGGACGACTCATGTGCCACGGGTCCGGTGGTTGATGGACACCCCGTGTCCGATGTATGTTCCATCCAATCAACCACCGTGTTCCACCGTGGTCTTGGGATTGTTCCATTCACCGGTTCGTTTCGGCTCCGCCGTTCCGCCTCGTCGTCCCAATCCTGGAACCAGGAGCCGGTCGCAAAGGAGCCGGGTTCCACGGTCTGAAAAAAGCGCCCAACAAGGCCACACGTCATATGCATGTCTACAATCTAAGACATATATGCATGTCATATGCATGTCATAATATGCATGTCTAAGACATGAAACGATATAAAACAATGGTCTTAAGTCGAGCTCTGATGTTTTGACATGTTTTCTTTTCCAAACGTAACCCAGTTTGGATTGAACAACTCCCTTTTGAAGCCTAATTTGGTATAGACTTGGCAGGAGCTCGTGTTGGGCGAAAGGCTCACCCCCCAACAGTTTCCATGGCAGTTGGATGGTTTTGAGATCTGTTGATGCCCATCCAGCTGTGGATCCGAACGAACTCGGCAGGGGTCGGCAGTTCTCCGCATTCCGTGCCACTCGGAGAAGACGAACAGGTCTGCCCTCGCAAAAAAACACACATGGACCTGGTGGTGGTGGCGACCTGCGAAGGTGGTTTTTCCCCCGCCCAACGCCGTGGTGAAACGATCCATGTGAGTCGTCGGCGGCTTCGGTGCGAGAAGCGACGACCACGGCGCGGTGCCAGCGATCTCTGCGAGTCGGGCCCGGGAGATGGCTCGGTTTTGGGTCACCAGGGAAGTACCTGGTTGGAGGATCCAGGATCCGGCTGACCCATTGGGGAGCACTTCAGGGGTGCGCACCCAAGCCCTTCGTGCCGCCAATCTATTAGCAAAGCATAGCAAAGCAACGGTCTCCAAGTTCTGTGCAACGTTTGGCAACAACTCGCCTCGAACAACTGCTCTGAGATGTTTGAGATGCCCCAGATACAGTATCAGCTCTCACACCCTTGCCCAGTTCTCAAAGTTTGAAGACAAGTCGCAAGAGTGGTTATTTTTTTCAGACCGAACATGAAATGCTATAAGGATTAATAAGACATGTCATGTCGATAAGGTATATCGTTACATGAACGGCAAATACCATAAATATCCATAAATCACATGTAAGATATTGTAAGATCATGTAAGGATATCTATAACGGCGACGACCATTCACCCCTGCTGGGAGGGTCTTAACCTCGGTCTCCGCCATCCGGACCATCACCCCTCTGTCCTCTAAGGATTGCGTAAAGGAGACGATCCGGGTGCCTTGGTGAACTCTCCCCATCACGGCCAAACCGCGAGATCCGCGAGCAAAGCATGGAAAAAGAACACATGTCGTTGGCACATGTGGTTCCGATGTGCTTGTGAATTGGACCCCTTGTGGACCCCCCTCCAAAAGAGATAAAACACATACACGCCCAAACCGCACTGGACCCAAAACCGAAATCCCATGACGAAACCGCCCTCCGAAAGGAACTGACAGGTCCTTCCCAGGTACTGGAGCATGGCAATCCAATGCTTCACTGGAGCATGTAGCCGTATGGAGATGTACGGAGCCAAGTCCGGGGACCATATACATGATGTTAAACACTGCTTATTCATATTACGCGTATACATGATGTTCGAGCATATACATGGTGTTCGAGCTTTCAGGTCAGGAATCAGTTCGACATTAGTTTCATATCATCAATCCAAGTAGCTTCTGTTTCTCATGTGTTTTATCCCAGTCTTTGGTACAAACTTATCCTTTTGGATTCAGAGTACGAAGTGTTGGATCGTTTGGGAAATGGTTCCTCTCACGAAATCCCTCCTATCACGTGCCTGTGAAGAAACGCCAAAGCGGACGTGGCTCCTTCGGTTTGGATCATGCCGTGGCTCGTTCCAGAAAGCCTTTTTGATACGAACGCGTCACCATACAAATGCACCTCAACAAAGTACAATTGAGAGCTCCCCAATAAAGGTGTCACCCTTTTCAAGTCGAGGGAGTGAGTATAGGCTATCCGGATGGTTTAGTCTCATTCATGGTTGTCTGATAAACCATCCTTAGCCTAAACCATCATTTTGTCAAACCCGTTTCAAGCATTCTTTACCTCATTTGTACTTTGGGGTTCTGATATGTTCCGAATGGCTTTCATCTTTTTCTCCACATATCAACACGTCCCACGTTCTCCGTCGGAGGGGCCGGAGCGCAGCAAATCGCTCACTTGGGAGGAGAGCTTTTGGAACATCGCCGTCGCCAGCCTCAGGGCGAGCCGAGTGATTTGGTGATCAACTGAGCACATTGTCCATAGGTCGGCTCCCCTATGGCATGACTTGAATTGAAAGCATGTAGGTGCTGGCCCAAGTAAACATTATTGGAATTGTAAGACAGGAATGACAAATGGTTCCCAATAAAATCTCTGAGGAGAGTTCAAATTATTGCTTACTCAGCAAAAAGAACATTCTACGTTGTCAAGACTCATTTTCATTCAGCTTTACCAATCTGTTCATCTTCAAACAGGGAAACCCAAACCTCAGTGTTGCAGCACTCTTAAAGCTTGTGAAGCTCTGATGGCAGGGTGGTCGCCAGCTTCACATCATTTCGCACCAATTCGGCCCGTCGTTCGTGAACACACGGAGCACGCGAAGTCTGAGCTTTTTGGCGTGAGTCTCAAGGGTAGAGCGGTGTCCTGGGCGGATCCCGCGCAGGCCATGCGCAAGATCTGTTTATGAATTGGTGTGTATTAAAATTAGGGAGACCTCCCAGTTCGACCCCAAGGAAGAAGGAACCTCCCTGTACTAAATGTACACACCCAAATCGGATCTGTAAACTCTATAAACATGTATTTTTTTTTTAATCCTTCCCAGCTGCAAAATCAGGACTCGACCCGACCTCGAAAAACAACAAAATGGCCAAACCCTTTGTTTTCCGCTGACCCGGGCTCTTTGACTCCCCCAAACCCGGTCGACCAAGCTGGTTTGCATCGGCCGCTGCTCCGGTGAATTGGTCGCCTTGAGTCAGTTAGTCAGTTGCCGAAGAATGTAGACTCTCGATTAATAACCCATGTTGAATTGGACATCCTCTTCATATGGTGGGTGAAATATAATCAAGAGTCTTACATTACCATCAAATTCAAGACCTTTTCAAACATCTATGTTGTGTCACCAAAAGACTGGCGATTTGGTCTTGGAACTTGGAAGGGATGTCTTGGCTGTGACGGGTGCGACAGGGAGGCTCCAACAAGCGGGAACAGTTTCCGGTCGTGAGCAGTTTGCGTGAACTGCGGTTGGCCCAGAGTCACTGAACCCCCAAAAATACAACATCCAACCGGTTGATGCTGCAAATGCCGAAGCGGGAAAATTCAAAACCCAATTCCGGCTTCGCGTTCGCATTTTTCACACCACCACAAAAATGACCCAGACCGACCAGCGAATGAATCCACAATAACCAAATTTGAACACAGACCGTTCGCACTTTGCAAACTGAAATCTTATCACTGATCACTGCAAATAGGATGGATTTGCAGTGAACCCTATTGATTTGAGTTTAGAGTGTATCATGCCTTGACTGATATTTTTTGTTGTAACTTCCAGGCAACGACCCCCTGGGCTCGGTTCGGGAAATAGTCAGAAATAATCCAGTCTACCATCCAACACCCCTCCTGGGCCAGGGAGTCTCCTGAATCTCAATTACACACCCAGGTCATAGACCTCTCAGAATCATTATGAGTTATTCTGTTCAATCTCCAGGTTTCGGGGACGTTGAACGTGACTGATGACTGTTTTTAATTCGTGATAGGGAGGTCATCCGTAAGCATAAAGTTCAACAATCATAGAAAATCCAGATCAAAATTGTCTATAAATATATATAGATATATACAAAGAGAGAGAGAGAGTTATTATTTGCCCAAAGATCTGGTTCTTTGTAAAATCCGGCTCCAAAAATGCAAAAAATACAAAACAACAAATGATGATTGCAGTTTGCAGGTTCTTTTGCATTCATTCACACATGAAAACGAAGGAAACGTGGCAACATAGATTCTGCCGTTTCCATCTTTTGAGCATCTACCTTGAAGAAGTGATTACTTGAATCATGAAGACTCGGAGAAACATGGCGGCAAAATCGTAGCCTCTAGCTTGGAGGTTCACTCCTCATCAACCACCTCAATGATGTGGACCCCAGGTGTTGCAGGGATCGTAGAAGCACCATCATAAGCATCCACAATTGCGCTGATGATAGACTCTCTCGTGTTGAGAGATTGACCTTGGTAGTGTAATTCACCCAGCATGAAGCATACATCTTGGCAGTGTACAAGGCAAGCTGGAAGATCCTGAGGAACTGGGTCCAACGGACATGTTGCTCCTGAGACGTGCGAAAGCTGCCTTCTCACTGACAAAGATTTGGTGGTCAAGGAGCTGAGGCCGCTCCTGCACTATGTAGCAGTTGATGACCTTCAATGAATCAAGGCCAGATCCATGAAGAATGTTCACAGCGTACTCTGCAACAGCCTTCGGAATTGCATGATGGAAAGCAGGGTCTGAATGATCAGCTCATGATGGCTCCTGAAATCCTGCGAAGGCTCCCAAGCCCTGCAATCGACTCAGAGCATGGATTGTTGAGCTCCGGATCCTTCTCATCAGTCAACCCTGCAAAGCTCTTCACAGCGGAATGCCTTGTTGCCATGTATGTACCCAAGTAGGTTGTCGCTTTATTGTCGGCTTTTACTGTCGGCCTTTGCAGAAGCAATTGCTGTCACAGCCAGGAGCAGGATGACCTCTGCCTCAGAGATCTCCTCTTTGGCTGCAATGCCAACCCCTAAGACACCATTGAGAATCCAAGCAGCCCGCCTGCATTTGTTGATCATCACTCTGTCATCACCGTACTCAATCTTATCCAACTTTATGAGGACGGCTGATGGGTCCATTGGATCTTATTCATCCTCATCACTCCCGTGCTCCAGTACGGTGAGCACCCTTTCAAGCTCTTTTCCATCAGGGATTTGTATCACCCTGCTGAGACCTTTGAGAGTGCCGCTTTCATGCGCTCTGTGGGAACCCCCACAAACATCAGAAGATGGAGAGCCCACAAGAGGTGATCCTCCAGGAAGAGAAGGGCAAAGGCAAGAGCTTCCTCCGTTAGCCTGCTGACCTGTTCAGATTCGGCCTCTCCAATGCTCAATGCTCAATAGGTTTAAGCTTGGACGTGACCCCCAGGCGGCGAATGGCAACAGGCGCATCTGGGTCTATGGGCGTCTGGAATGTGTTCCCAGCTCTCCTCGTGTGAGCCCTCGCCAAGATAAGGTTTGCATCGTTATCTGCATTTGTCCTCTCAGCAGCAATCCTTGATATCAAGGATGAAGCTGTGGGAGGTGACACGGAGAACCGTGCAGATGCTTTGGGCTTCGAAGCTGAAGGCTTCTGTGCAGCTTCCTCCTGAGCCATTGCAACAATCACGACTGAGGGAGTGGTCTGACAAGTGGACCTTGAGCCAAAATGGCTACGGAAAAGTGAAAACAAAGGAAAGCAAATCAAAGCAAAATTAATGCAAATTACAGCCCAATGTAGGCAAATGAAAAAGCATAATGAATTAACATCCACACTATTCGAACTTGCAAGCCGGACAGCAACATGTAGGCAAATGAAAGCATCATTAATTAATATCCACAATATTCGAACTTGCAAGCCCATAGGAAAGAAAGCAAAGGAAAGACACATGTAGGCAAATGAAAGCATAATAAATGCAATCGGAAGCAGAATGAAAGTAAAATGAAAGCCGAATGAAAGCACATGAAAGCAACATCAAGGCAGAATGAAAACAGCTGAAAGCAGAACCTAAACACATGAAAGCAAATGAACTGAACTATCTGAACACCAGAGGTTACTATTTTTGGGCTACCCAAATGAAAAATAAATAAAAAATAACATATATTTCTTTACACAAATGGAGAGCTTGCACTTGCACCCCGCTATGACGACTCGAACTTTGGCGGCGCCAATGTTTCGGTGTACCAATCCCGTCGCCAAGACACGTTGTGGATGGTGAGGGCGCTCTTGATGTGCAAGGTGCACTTGCCGTCTTTCAAGTCGTGTTCTGAGCGGAACAGCGAACCCGCGGTGGCCCAACGGCGACAAGGAAGCCCAGCGGCTTCAACGCGGCGGTTTCTGTGCCCCAAAACATGTGTGGCTTCGCTCCATGGCAGGTAACCTCTGGAAGCCAAATACAGTATTGGAATCGATTGCTTGAACCACCGTTTGTGGACCTGCTTTGATTCAGCAATTCCACTGCCGGGTTCATGCATGTGTCAGACGTCAAAAGACGTCATATCTCGCCGTCACAGCCTGAAGGGATGAAGAAACACGTCAGAAAGTGACCGAGTAAGACATCATGGCCCCATGGCACGTGCAAAAGACCTGTCTCATGTCGCATGTTTTCCATCCGCAGTTGTACTCCCCCACCCCAAGTAGTCCGCCCCGCTGCCCAATCACTGGCAGCAGTTTCATAGCTGGTACATGAACTTGCTTCGCCCGTGAAAGCAGGTTCTTGGGAGGCCGATTGAATAAAAACACAGCCCAAATGTTTTAATTCACTGGAGAGGCACGGATCGTTGCGCCAACAATCTGCACCACACCAATCTTCAATATTGGGGAACATATAGAAACTTGAGTGCCCCTCACCTTTTGCTCAAACACTACTTTCGAGGAATCGCACCAATCAAAGGCAGCTCCCTGCACTGGTTCATCTATGACCAAAATGATTGGTCAATGCAAACTCGCACAATGTGAGAGCACCCTCACCACCCAAATCTTCTTTTAACCAGAAACAGATTCCTTGCACTGATGAACAAACAACATTGCTTTTCAATGCCCTGCAGTGGTGGGTGTTCCCACCACGGGTCCATTACTTGCCGTAACAAGAAAGGTCTCGGGTTCCAAAGAAGTGGCGAGCTACAATGAGCTACAACATCAAACACAACTCCACACGGATGAGGGTGTCAAGCAAAATTAGACCAGTTAAATCTGAGCCATCCAGGTCAAAATCGGTTAAAACGAGAAATCACACCCAACAGATCCCATCAAATCCAGAAACATCCAGAAACAATCCCTGCCAATCCCATCAATCTAGGTTTGGTACACAGCCCCCCCCGAGCCTGGCTCCACAAAAATGGGGCAACCTTCCCTCAGAACGCGCGGGAAAGGGGGTCAACAGGTCAACACAGAATGTCCGAAGTGAAAGGTGCGCGCATGTCTGCGTGACCCGGGGGGGTTGCACGGTTGCACTGTGGCGTTGATTGATTGAACCTCAACGGTTTTTTGGTCCAGGAAAAACGGGAAAGACACCCGGCGCACAGTGATGGGGCTTAACCCACTGAGGGTATCCACGTTGAAGTTTCTGCAGCCAAAGCAAACCCAGAGCAAGAAACCGGATTGAATTGAAATGCACCAATGCAACGAATCTGCTACAAGCAACATCAAAGAACCAGTAACAGTGAACCCTTTTTTCCGCATTTCAACTGTAGTGCTTCGACTGAAATTGTCGTGATTCCAAGCGTGAAAGAACCACTATATATGGATAAACAACAACTATACCGAAAGGCACTGACCATGTGCAGTTGCCAAAAGAATCTCAGTTGCCCGTGTTCCACGCTTTCGACTCTTGTCCTTTGCTCGATCTGCCCATGAGACCGACGAAGATGCGAATCGAGACACTAGGCCCGACATGGTCAGGAACTGATTGCAGGCAAGCCATATTGGAACAACCATTCGTTTCATTTCAGATTTCCCTACAGGTCAATGACCTCATTACTTTACTGGAGTTGGTCATACAAAACACTGTAAAAGACCAGTGTTGGAGGGCAGACTGGACTTGTAGGAGGTGACCCTCTCCGTTTAAATGTCGCCGCACCAAAGAATCTTGGAAGCGGACAAACATTCAGAAGCGAGACATGCAAAATTACACGGTTCCTAGAATTGTATACCATGCATCAGCATTAAACCACCACGCCAAATACCGCCCGGCCGGGCACACACACACACACACACTAACACCAACCATCACCTCACCAAACCAGTGGGGCTCCACCCCCCGTCCTCGCGTCCGTGCCGTCGTGTACGTCCGTGCCTCGGACCGTCATGGACCGTCATGGACCGTTGTCGGACCGTTCCCGCCTCACTTGATAGGCACGGCCAAAAGTGTGATCTAAGTCGATGGTGACGACTTCTTCCAGTTGAAACTCCTGCCGGTCGGACAAGAGCGGTTTGGAACCAGCGCTGGGAACGCTCTGAGCGGAGTTACGGTTGACTTATGTGACTATGACTGACGCGAGGTCCAAGGTCAAACGATTTTCACACCGGCAGGTGTACCATCTGGCAGGAGTGGCACGCGCCACTGAAGTCGCAGAGCTTCCAGAACCCCAGCCCTCAAAGCTTCGGACACTTTTTTGGAAGATACACCGGGTTCACTACCAATCCAGGGGTCATGGATGTGAGATGGTTCGCTAGGCACCTCGACTTCCTCCAACAAGAACGCGCCCAACTCCATGAAACCGCCTTTTTGTGCCTCATGTTCGGGGTCTGTAAAAGTACAGTCACAAAGCCTGGAGCTAGGTTCGTGACGCTTGAGAGGATATGTCTTTGTGTCTGATGTTTACCCCTTAAGTCCAGAGCAGGTTATAGTAATGTGTTGGGGTCGACAGGACGCATTTCACCTCCGTGGTGAAATGCGTCCGATCCTCACTTTCAGGACCCAAGGTGTCATCAACGTTCACAAAGCCGGGCTTCACAAAGTCCTTGTCGAGTGGGGGTTGGAACCAATGACTGCACCCAATGTACACAGAATCTAGATCGCAAGGAAAATCTGGCAACCCCTTATGGCAAATCCAGGGGCATTCTAGATCAATGTCTCCTATGCCAAGCCTTTGGCCTCTTGAATTGCAATATGACAAAAGGCACACTATATAGTTCTTCCATTAATTGGGTCGATGCACACACCAAGACAACCCAAGAGATCTTCATTCCAACATCACCCAAAACAGCTCCCCAATCTCAGCCCTGGGTTTGGGAAGCACTTTTTTGTCAGCTGAAACAAGTCAGCCGACCTATTAGAATGTGATTCATGACTTCTTTTGGCTCAGGTACCAGGCTAAAACGACGAGCCGCGTGTGGCACGATACTGCCACAGCCGCCTCCAAGGTACCACGATACTGGCACTGTGGGGTGGAGACCAGATCTGGAATCGCCCGCCCTGTGCATACCTGGATCTTCCAACGTTTAACTGGATGTTCTGCCGAACTTAGGGTTTAGGGATGAATCTTCCGAACTTGGCCGGTTTGCTTGATGAAGTATGGCAACACTGATTCATGGGATTTCTGCTTGGAAGTCGGGCCAAAAGCCGCATGAGTTCTTGGCCCCGGCCCATGGATGATGTTTTGAATGTGTCTTCATCGTCCGGACCTAGGAAATACCCGGTAGCGTGGGACGAATCTTGATCGAGCGTTCAGCTGAGCGGAGAGTTCGGCCTCAGCCCAAAGGCCAAGTCATAACCCGGAACCTGAGAACGTTCGTGACATCGAATTCCCCAGGGCCGCTGGGATTTTCACACCCAGTTCGTATGTCATACTGAAACATCAGATGGAGCCAGCCAAACATCTGGTTCACCTCTCCCTGCTCCCTCCAGCAGGTCCGCAAGCCTCAAGCCACAAGCGCACTTCAGCGAAGCGGTGGGTTCGGTTCTGGCGGCCAGGCGCGCGGCGACGGCGGAGACACGGCGACACGACCTGTCTGGGACTGGCATAGATAGAAGTACCTATCCCATATACAGTCCATGTATGCTATATATAGTAGGTATACACTCAGTAGGTATACAGTCCATGTATGCTATATCCCATATATACAGTAGGTATATACACTCAGCCCCCTTGGGACAAAGGAACCAAAACACCCCAACGTACTTATCCGGATCCTGGAAACTGCGTGTGGCTGGACAGGTGACTAGCCAGCCCACTACTATCCATCTCCAGACAGTACACCAAATGGCCTATGGATGTCTATGGTATGTCTATCCCTACACCTCCAGTCGTACCTCCTCAGAAGGTATGACTGGACCCTCCAAACCCACCTCAAACACCTTCTTAGAAGGTACGACTGGATCCCTATAGGGTATGGTATATATACCAGCCCCTTTGGACGTGTGTGGGGTTGATAGTTGGGCCCAGCAGGTTCCGTGTTCGCTGTGACCCCAAAACACACGTGGCGTGTATGGACTGAAAAGCACTGAAAAACGGTGGTGACTCACAGCAGGTTGCATGGTCGCGGTGAGTTAGTAGGGTTTCGGCGACCCTTGTGGAGCACGAGAGTTCTCCAGCTGGCTGGAGCAAACACACCAATCATCAGAACATGCGAAGACAAAAAAGACACCACGTCAATCAGCGACAAGAAACGTGTGGAAAAGATGCGCGGGGTGGGAATTTGGGACAATGAGGCGGAAATACCGGGGTATCCTGTTGTTTCAACAAGGCCTTGTGATTCAAAGCAGATCTATTGCAATTTAAACATCAGCGATGCAAACTTAAGGCTTCTTTCCTAATGGGGCTGTTCGAGCAGCTGTGCGCAGCTTCACCTTTTGCCTCTCGACCCATGGGTCAAGACAAATGGCTGAAACCTGGAGCCAGTCGTTCTCCAGAGACCATGCCTCAAGACATTACTTATTAACTACTCATTATTCAAACGCACCTATATCATATATCCCAAGATCCAAATCAAGTCGAACTAGACCATCTGGGCCAACTGATCAAAGCCCCAGCCCTCCTGAAGATAAGTCTTTCACCGCCAGAATGGCACCTCTTGGGAAAAGGAACCAGGGGACAGGGCCGCTGGAGCTCTTCCTCTACGCCAAATAGCAAATCGATGCAAATCGCATGTTTTCGCACGCCTGGGGGAAACATGTGGATGTTCTCTGCCACTGCCCCGCCCAGCTTTGTTCGGCTTCCGGTCGAAACACCTGGCTCAAGTGATGTACGTTGGAGCACATCCCCGGCAGCAGTTCGACCGAAGTACCTGGGAGACCCCGATTCGACCCCAGACACGGCCGGGTCGCAAAGGTCGGGGATGTGGGAAGGGGAAGCTTTCGGTTCATTGGATGGAACCATGGTGGAACGTCTTGTACCACGTTTGATGGAACATAGTGGATTTGGTGTGAATGGAGAAAGTCGGGGTGCCCACGAATTCTTACATCCACTCACGATGATAGGGTGTGTACCCATCCAACTTCATGGAACTCCTTGAGAGTCTTCTTGGAAATGTAAAACAATCTTATTAATAATTGGACATAATTGCTACAAATCTAAACCATGCATCACCATGTCAAAACAATTGTTGTTCGGGATTTAGCCTATTAAGATCAATGCTGCTTCAACTCCTAGATAGGGAGTCGACAAAGCACATGATTCTTCCAAGTGACCCTTTGATTAGCTGGGGGAAAGGTCCGTCAACTCGGCGGTTGGGCTCAACCCAAGCGGATGTGAGATACTTCGGCTATAAAGCATCCGACTCCCTGGAACTGCTCAAGTACATCTCTTCTACAGCCCAAGCTCAGCAGCAGAAAGAAGTCCCATGTGTTCATCGCTCCACCAGAGCTACCGGTGCCCCTGGGGAAACCACCACCCAGGGTGGCCCGATCACTGGGGTGGTCAGCAACGAAGCGATGGGTGAGTATTACAAATGGCTTCGTAATACAAAAGGTGGTACTCCGGTTCATCTCGCTTCGAACCTCGAAGCGAAGGAGAACCCCCATCCCTTCGATGTTTGACGCCCCTTCTGAACTGGGGTGAAGGCGACCCGTTCACGCGCAGGAACGAACGACCCAGCGGATCTGACCGTCCCAGTCCGGGTCACGGTGAGCTGCAAACGGTCCGGACCTGCATCCCGATGCCACGAACGGTGTGTAGCGCTATATACCACGTGAGCGTGCTGTTTTCCGCCGAGATGCTGAACCCGTGTTAGAAAAGGATCCCCTCTGTAAAAACCAAGTACCACGGGAATTTCCAACCTGCCAAGACCAGCTTCCAGCAAAACCTTTCAAAAGTCACCACAGTACATTCTGTATACTGTATACCTGGACCATCGGGTGTCCTGCCTAGCCAGCACTACCATATCCGATCTCCAGGCAGGACACCCGAGCAGGATGGTGGTATGATGTGGTATGTTTCCTTGTTCATCTGACCCCAAATGCAAAATAAAATGTGGAGCCCACTCCCAGCCCCAAAGATATTTCAACCATACTGCAGTCTGCTGCATTGGGACTTTGATGGATCTTCTCTTCCGACCCGACCTCCAATCGCCTCTCCGCCCCGAAAACCATGCCGCTCCGCACGTCGCCCCGGGGGCACTCTGCCGCCCTTGCCGCCAGCGCACGGTGATTTGCACCTCAAAGCGGTCGAACGACGAGACGATGAGGACGAACGGACGAACGAGGAGCAAACGGGCAGGTATAAAGGAAGACCTTCCGTTCAATGAATTTCCTTCCGCGTCAACGAAGAACGATGAACATAGAAAGGCATGCCTATACGTTCGAATGAGTTGGTGCGATGCCGAAGTTCTTGATCTGTCCAGAGATCTGTTTCGAGTAGGTTCGGACATTTCGGGTTGCGACAAATGTCACTCGTGCATCTTCCTGACGGAAGCCTCCACGTGCAGGTGCTGAAACCACCGAAGGAGTTGTGCGAATCGACATCACTTTGACTCGGAAGAAGACTTCTGCAGGCTGCGGGGCGGTTCCAGAAAAACAGGGATGATGATGATGATGATGATGTTTTGATAGTTCAACTGACAATAGCTCAGTCAGGGTGAGTCAGGGTATCAACATGTATCAACGGTTTCATGCCATTTGGGTGTATTTGTTTGTACATTCTGTGAGTCTGTGAAACAAGTCATCCCGTCCCGATCTCTGATCTTTTTGCAGTATATCCACAAGGACAATAGAACAAGAAAACTAAGACCTGCAAACTAATTGTCACCCCTTTCATGTTCGTGGCTGGTAAGCTCATTGTACGTCGATATGTTTGAGCTTTAGCCATCTATACCCACCCCGAACCAGAACGGACGAATTTCTTAAAACCCACGTGTTTGCCTGTGCTCAAATTCTTCGGATCGGATAGATATAGGTCCCCACATCGTCGTCTTCCCATACCTGTTTGAAGATCGGGTGGTCCTTTAGGTCCCAGCCCCACACCACCGTTGCCCCAGGCGCTCCGGTGCCGTTGTGGAAGTTGAAGGATCGGACGGGCTGCATGGGAGCATCTTGGACCTGCGACAGCTGGATGGATTGGAATGGGCTTGGAACTGGGCTTGGAATGGATTGGATGGATGGTCCAAGCACAGCTTCCCACTTGTAGGGACCTTTGCCTCCACCAGAGGAACCATGCAACTTTCTTTGTGACGGTCGATGTTCAATTAATTATCGTTAATTATATTGTTCTACATCTCGTTCTGATTCTCTTTCTAGGAATGAGGTTGCCTCTCTGTATCGACTGTGGTGCAGGCGTCGAAATCCCTACACCAAAAGCTGGTCAGTCACCAAGCATTCCCCTTCAGGGAAGGACTGGTCTACACGCAAAAGATCACAAATTGGCACTGGTCCTCACAGGCGCTTAGGCATGCAAGACATCCAGCAAAAGGGAAAGGGGCCTGGACACGCCGACACCGGGGTGTCTGGCGCAATACAAGCTCGATAAGCTCAAGGTATGGAGCATGAGACGGTGGGGAAAGAACCCCGGTTGCAGCCAGCCACCGCACTGCGCCAACGTAGCCAAAGAAGAAGGCAGTGGGCCAAGGTTGCTCCAGGAAGCCGCACTCAAAGCCAAAGGAAGCTGGTTAGGAGCCTAGCCGGCGCAAGACAGCGCGCTGTAGAGCCACTGCAAGGGCCTGCAGGAGCCGGTCATGTTCAACTGACGCGGACTCGTTGCTGCGGGCGGCGATGGCAGTGGCAAGGGCTTTCCACACTTGAGTGGCGGTCGGACCCCAGCCCCCTCCGCAGGCCTCGGCCACCAGGGGAAGAAACTGTAAGCCTTCGGCCAGACAGGTGGTCTGAGTGTCTTGGTGTTGACATTTCCGGGATTCATACGCAGTAGCGGCATGGCTGCCAGAGACAGCGCTATGTGGAAGCAAGGTCGCCCGCATCCCCGAAGTGACAGCCAAATCAAAAGCGGCTGGGCCATGCATGCCCCAGCTGCCAACCCAGACATCAGCAGGCGTCCAGGGAGAGTCCGGCCGTCGTCGGGCCCCTCGGCGTGGTCAGGGCGAGGTGGGAGCAAGTTGGGCTTTTAACCTCTGTGTGGAAACCAGCGGCTTGGGCTCGGGCAGCAAGGACGGCGCGGAGCCGATGGTGCCGCTTGGTGCGGTCGCCGCCGCAGGGGCACACACGTGCATGGTCACCAAAGCTGTCGGCCACACCGTCACACATGGGGCCTCATGCAAAGTTTTCGCTTCTGCTTCTTCCAATGGTGAGATGTCACTTGCAAAGGCGTGTAACTTCAAGACGAGCTCTGCTCTTCGAGCCTCTCCTCCAAGTCCAGTGAATCCAGTCTTGCCAACTTCGATCTCATGTTCAAGCTCGGTCGTAGGATCTACATCAGATCTCCAACCACGCACTCCTACGAACCCCTGGGCCAGCAAAGATCTTGAGCCATTATACGGTGGAACTTCCGCAACTTCAATGCCACTTAAACTATGGCCGTTGATCACCAGCGCTGCCAAGAGAGCCAGCACTGTCACTCCAAAGGTCCGGAAAGCACTTTGCGATACACCGCGACAAGTACTGATATCATTCCTCAAGGCCAAGACTGCCTCTTCCGCACAGCTCAAGCTTCCAATAGAGTCTGCAAGTTCATTGATCTGTGACTGGGACAATGGAATAGACCCTGCAGAATTAACGTCAGGACCATCCCTCTCCTCAATAGAAAGAGCTGACCGGATGTCAACAGAAGGTCCACTGACCGCAGCTGGACTGAGGCTGCCAATGAACTGACAGCCCTCAAGAGAGCTCCACCACTGCTCAAGTCAGTCATGACTCCAACAATTGGAGCTCCCTGTTGAGGCACAGTAATGAGTGCTCCCCCTCCAAAGTGTCCTGCAACAGTACCTACAAAAACAGTGCTTTCTGCCGTCCTCGTGTCAATGAGTGCACATGGCGAGCCAGATGCCCCCGATGGTACATTGGCCGCTCCGGATTTCGTCTGATACACATGGCAAGTGTCTGTGCGAGCCGAAACTAGATCAGCAGAATCTTCCCAGAACCTCGGTGAACCTACAACGCATTTGACGACCGGAGGAGCAGTCGTAAACCCTGCATTGAATCGTGTGTTCGCCAGAACGTAGGGTTAGCTTGGGTTGCTGCTTTCACTGGCTCAAGTGATTGCAGCCTAGGGACTGCTTTGAATAGGACAGGTGTCACAATGTTAGATGGGCCATGGCTATCGGTGCTGGGCCTCGCATTGACCCTGGAGCTTGTTCAAGGCCCCCCGGCTGATTGGGTCTGGTGGTTTTCTTCCAACTCCTCGGATGAGGTGGAGGAGATTTTCCCAGACGCAACCGTGGGCGAGACCGCCCCTCCCAGGATGGCCCCTGAGGAAGGTGAGCGTTCCGCTCCTCACGCAGGAGATGCGAACACTTTCGCTCATGTGTGGGGTCACTCAGTTTTCCATTTTGACATCAGGTCCTGGATGGGACCAGCATGGTTTAGCACCCCACAACAGAAGGGAAGTCTTAGCTCCTCCGGGGGCTGGGGACTTTACTTTCTTGATCGATTTGGACTCGCTACCTGCGGAGAATTTTGGCCATGGATTGCCTGGGGAACCCTACTAGCGCTGATTACAGTTTTGACCATTGGGGTAATCTATGCGTTGACTTGGGTCTTCCGGCCGATCCGGCTACTCTTTGATTGCTGCACCCGTCATACTCAAGCTGTTGCACGGGAGGTAAGTGATCTTCTGCCTGAGTTGCAGGCAACCCACACTTACGAATCCTTAGCCATCCGAGGCCCCGGCTCCAGGGAAAGTGTTGATAATGACTTCCTACAAAAAGGAGTCAAGGGTCGAGGGACTGAGAGAAAGCCCAACGATGTGGTGCTTCTGCTCAATGGCCAGGCAGCGAGGGTCAAACCCGATTGCGACCACTGGGCACGCGTTGATCGGAATGGGCTTTGGGTCCGGCTGAGAGAAGTTCGAGGTGTTTCCCATCGAAATCTGAGGCAGGTTTTGGAAGGAGAGAGTAAAGTCCACCTTTGCCGGGAAATGCAATGTAGTCTTGAGAACCACCCTACACCGGGTATACACTGCAAAACCTACGCAGTGGTGGATGCCAACAGCGTGGTAGATTTGGGAGCGTACGCCGGGTGGTCCAACAGGCGACTGATGGTGCTCTTTACCAGATGTTTCAGAAGTGTCGGACGATCCGTCTGGAAGATGGTCGGGGTACTCTCTGGGTGGACGCTCCTTCGATATCTGATGGATACCCCTCAACCAGCCCGTACCATTCAGGATCATGGAGGTCTCCGTCCCCTTGACCCTGAGTCGGAATCTGAAGCTGAGGTCCTGGAAGATCCTTGCGAGGCTGTCCTAGTTGGATTGACCCATGGTGGCAAGCCGCGAGCCTTAGCCAATGAACCATGTCGGGATCAAGCAGCTGGGGAGTCGGTCCGACTCCTTGAATGTGACAAGGGTCTTTCTGATGTCAAGGGCAGGCAAGCGGTCCGCTTGTGTGATCACCACCGACAGTTGTATGTGGCAGCATGTTCCGGACGCAAGTGCAGCGTGCTCTCATGTTATGAATCACACGATGGAGCCAAACAAGGGGTCCCCCTATGCAAGCATCACCTGATGGATGTTGGTAGCTCGGTGCGCAGCAAACGCAAGGTTACCTGGGAGAGCGACGGGAGCAATCCAGAAGCAGAAGAACCATCCTCAGGAGTCGAAGGTCACTTTGAGGATCAACGGGGGGTCTCTCCTCAAGCCCGCAGTAGCCGCCCCAAGCGTAGAGCTGCCACTAGCCAGCCCAAGGCACGCGCTTCCTCAGCAGGGCCCCAATCTCAGTTCCAGCATCAAGCGGAAGGCAGGCTTCTTCAAGGCCCATGTATCTCACTAATCAGATTCAAGTCCCTCCAGAACGGGGAAAGTCTGCCCAGATGGGTCGCGTTTTTGGGGCGGGTTACTGGGGTCGCTACATCTAGCCGAGCTCAGGAGAAGGTTGAAATTGACATCCCTGCCCTCAAAGTTCAAGGGGTGGTCCACCTCTCGCAGTTGCGCCCCCCCCCCCCAGGGATGATGGACACGGACGGATTTGTAGGGAATGGATTGATGACTTCCTTCAAGCCTCCCATGAAGAGTCCGTCGGGAAAGGGATTTCATTCCTGTGTAGTCAGGTCACTGAAGAGCAAGCTCTCTTGCTCCAAGCATGGGACGGCCAGGTGACTGATGGCGAGTCTCCCTCGTTCCAATCAGGCAAGACATGGATTTGCAGTCATCTTCAACAGGAGGTTCTCCCTCATGCTGAAGCTTATGTTGTCACACATCAACACAAGAAGAAGGAGTTCATGACACCTCCGAGACCGACAGCTGTAGAAGATGGTACAGGGGAAGATTTACCTAACATTCCCCCTTTCCCAGTTGATGATGAAGTGGATGCCGGAGCGCGTCTCAATGCAGCACGAGACACGTTGTTAGCACACTCACCAGGAGATTTGAGCGCTGAAACAGTGCAAACGGTAGCCACTGCTTTCGAGGTCGATCCGACCACCCTCATGCAGCAGTTCGGGATCCCAAAGAAGCCACTAGAAAGTGCCATTCGACCTGCTGCTCCGGCCCCATCACATACCCCACCAGGGTTGGAAGGGCCGTTCAAAGTGACGACCCCACAAATTCCTGCCCCTGCTCCAAGTGAACCCGCCTCGGGCCATGCCCTCGTTATCCCAGGATCCAAGAGAATCCCAAACCCCCTGCTGGGGGCTACCATGCCGGGGCAAGGAGGGGGAGGGATATCCCTTTTTCCAAAGAGGTCAAGCGGCTCCAAAGGCTTGGTAAAGCCGGCAGTGGGAGGCCACCAGTTTGGGGAAGAAAGAGCAGGAGCTACCTTCGGGGAGAGTCTAGGAGAAGCCACCCAAGTTCAGAACGCTGATAGGATTATCCATGCCATTGATGGCTTGCGCAAAGCACAGGACGAAGAGAAGAACCTCACAAAAGGATCGCTGACCTCAGTTCGGGAAGCCGAAAAGATGGATGTTTTCCTCGCCAGAGGATGCGGGACCCTGACGGT